TGTGCGGGTGGGGGGTGGGGGGGGGGCTTCAGGGTGTGTGTGTGTTAACTGTCATTGTGTAGTTATGTAAAATGCAGTGCTGGAGAAGCACAAATGCAGTGAAATTGTGCTATTCTGAAATAGCTTTAACACTGCAGCTTCTTAAATGAAGGTTTGTTCTAAATGAGTTGATTTACAAAATTGCCAGCTTTCTCAGGGTAAGCCTCAAGTAATCCTCAGATCACACATAGCCTCTGTTCCTAGAATTATTAGCTTCTGTGGGGCAGCTCCACATTTTCAGGTTCAAAAGAGGACATACCCTCCCTCCCATCAAGATCAGGATGGCCAGAAGCCGCGGTAGCATTCAATGTCAAGGACAAGGTTTGTCTCTGGGCAGGTTGTGAGCAGTGAACAATGTTGCAGCAGAGCTGCGGAGGCACACAGCACCTCTGCTGAGTCACCGCATTGCTGCTGCGGGTGCTGCCAGGTCAGCCTGGCACCTTGCCAGCTCTCCTCATGCTTCTGTGAGGTAGGCAGTATCAATCTGCCTGAACAGAAGAAGAAAACACAGTGGGAGGAGAAAAAAATGTCCCTGGAAAAAAACTAAATGGGATACTGCAGGAAATCTATTCCCTGAGAAATCCTGAAGCCTTTCAGGTTACTGTATATTGTGAATATTTAAAACAGAATATGGATGAGCACATACAGTGGTCTTTGCGGCGATAGTTTGAGTTACATATACAACTTTTTGCTTTTTTTTAGTCTAGTGGTTAGTATTAGTTTGGCATTGATTCAGTGATCCTTGCAATAACTACTCTTGACAGGAAAGTATACTCACAGCTTGGCACTGCTGTAATCCAGCACTTTGAACCACTATTTATTTAGATCTGGCAGCTAGCAGTAGACTGTCATTTTTAAGGTGGCAGTAGTATTTTACTGCAAGCCAAAGCCTCACTTTCTGCTCTATTTTAAATATAGGAAAACCATTCCATTCACATAAATTAGTATTTGGAATACTGATGCTTAGAGCTACCATATTCTACAATCAACTTACTTCTTAGTCCTGTGATTTTGGAGAACTGCAATTTAAGTAAGATCATTTACCATATCTACCAGTTAAGACTTACAGATGGCCAATAGTCTATCAGAAGACTATGCAGATGTCTAGTTTACCAGGAAGCAATACTAAGTGCATTGAAAGCAGCTGGCAAACTCAGTTCAGCTAAACATACTATCCTAGAAAGCCAAGAGTTTTTCGCTCAAGTTTGCCCCTACAAGGGGCTGTTAACATAAACACCTATCCAAAAAAAGCTGCTTTTGTTTGAGAAACAAAAGTAGAACTGTCGAATTAGTAAGCCTAACCCAATTTAATTTCTAGCAGGATATTACTTTCTAAGCCAGCCAGTCATGGTACAAGATTTGTTTTCCAATTATTCTTTGCTTATTTGTGGATGCTGTGCTTCTCTTCATCTGTAACTTTTCAGCTTAAACCCTTCCTAACAGGAAAAGAGAATGATTTAATGTACACGCCTACCACCAACAAATCCTGCATGTGTTGTTTTACTATTAGTAGCTTCCAAGACTGTCATATCTCTCGTATTGGCCTGTATGTACCGTATGGCATACCTTAGCTGAGTATGCATCTGACCTCCCAATTTTGATTTGCACAACCCTGTTTCAGTGGGAAAACTTCCCAATATATGGAGTAATTCACATTCTGCTGTCACTGTAGGTTATGGTGACAATCAATACAAATTATGAAACAATATATATTCACTAAGTGTTGACTGAAGATGCTAACATCATCTGGTACATATGCCCTGCCTCCCTCTCCCAAGTGATAATAGGGTGAGGGGGTGGAGAATAGTGGCTCTGAGTCATTTTCAGCTTAGGCTAGAGTGAGTCAGGAGGCAAGCAACTCAGTGTGATTCCCTTTCTCCATTTTATTCAGGGTCTAAAATTGGTCAACTTGATCATATTTCTGTTATCTGAGGAGAGCTGGAGAACCACTGGCTCTAACTGGCTGGCAAGACTCCTTTAGGAGCTGGGTAAATCCATTTTTATGTTTTAACATCCCAGGAGGCAGCGATTTATGTTTTCAGATAAACCACTCTCAAACAATAAGCACTATGGCAATTACTGCTGCGAGATTCACTAAATTCTCAGATATAGTGTATGGTTTAGGGTGAACAATCCAATTGTAGTTAACAGCTTCTGTAGGAAACATTCTTGCATTTTTCTGTGTACCCTGACAACCACAAAACATTAAAAGGAACAGGAGTTCTAGGTTGGATTTAGCATAAATCTTAAAGATAGCACTAAAAATGTATTCTTGACTTTGCACCTCTGTTCATATCTGAGGCTCTTCCCTCAGACCAGCTTGGCTGTTTCCCACACAAGATGGATTCCTGTGCCATGTTACAATAAACTACTACCTTAGGCATCTTCTAGCCAGTATCACAGGACCTGGCATATTCCCACAGTGCCATTCCTAGCTAACAGCCTCAGTGCCCACAGCTGTGCAGCATCAGCACAGACCATTTGTTAATAAGTTAGCTTTCTTAATTCAGGTGCAGCACTGTGCTGACACAGCTCTACTGTTTCCAGTTCTGTAACCAGTTAAGTGTCATGCTCACCTGGGTTTGCTACCCTGCGCCATTGCACAACATCAGTTGCATGGACAGTACATCCAGCTCTGTTTTATGTGACCCCACTTCCCATTCATTTGTCTTGGTACTTGCTTATGGCAGCTTATAACGTTATGACAGGGTGGTAGATAGATCTAAAGCCTTTCCCTGTGTCTGTAGCCTACTCAAAGACAATGACGCTGTCTAAGGCAGGTTTATGCACAGTATGAGAGACAACTCAATCAGGGTAATGGTAGGAGGAGATGGAACCTGGCCTCCACCCTTGATGCAGATCTCCTGAAGGGCTTGCCAGCCCTT